ATAATTTGACCTATAAATATAGGGGTATTGTACGCTTTTTAATCAATCAATCATATATCAATACAAAGCAAGATTATTCCAATATAATTCTTATTTTCAATTCTTATTACAAGAATTTCTAAACGCTTCTGCACCCCAGAACCATCTAACCTAAGGAAGGATCATAACCTATCTACTGAGCATGCTGAGAATGAAGCTCAGAAGTCCACAGATTTGCCTATTGCGTTATGGAAAGGAGTGAGAGATTGCACCAAAGATCTAATCTACAATTTCCTGTTATATGCAAAACTGTCCAAGGAGTATAGGAGTTTTGTGGCTAATCTATCTAATACCACTATTCCAAAAAACATCCATGAAGCCCTTGAGTTAAATGAGTGGAAGAAAGTTGTTCAAGAAGAAATGGCAACCTTAATAAAGAGTAACACATGGGATCTTGTACCAAAGCCTAGAGACAAGAAGACTGTAGGGTGCAAATGGGTATTTATAATCAAATGTAAGGCTGATGGAAGTGTGGACAAGAATAAAGCAAGACTCGTAGCGAAGGGTTTCACACAAACCTATAGAGTGGACTATCTAGAGACTTTTGCTCCAGTAGCAAAGCTGAATACTGTAAGGATTCTTCTCTCTCTTGTTGCAAATTTGGATTGGTCTTTCAACCAACTTGATATCAAGAATGCCTTCTTGAATGGAGAATTGGAAGAGGAAGTTGACATGGATATGCCGCCTGGTTTCAAAGAAAAAGGTCCTGCTGGTACAGTCTGTCGGTTAAAAAAGTCTCTTTATGGTCTTAAACACTTTCCTAGGGCCTGGTTCAACCGATTTAGAAAAGTCTTGAAGACCTGCGGATACTCTCAGGGGCAAGCCAATCACACTATGTTCTACAAATGGTCTATAGAAGGGAAGTTAGCTATTTTGATAGTGTATGTTGATGACATTATACTAACGGAGGATGACAAAGAAGAGCTGGAAGGATTAAAGACAAAGTTGGCTCGAGAGTTTAAAATCAAGGATCTTGGACCGCTACAATATTTTCTAGGAATGGAGGTGGCTAGAACGGCTAAAGGTATTCTAGTTACACAGCGAAAATACATCCTAGATTTATTAAAGGAAACTGGTATGACGGACTGTAAGCCTATTGCCACACCAGTTGAACCAATAACAAGTTGGGTCTTGAAGAAAATAGTGCACCCGTGGAGAGGGGGAGATATCAAAGGCTGGTAGGAAGATTAATCTACATTTTCCATATCAGACCTGACATCGCTTTTGCAGTTAGCTTAGTGAGCGAGTTCATGCACTCTCCGAGAGAAGCTCACTTAGTGGCAGTAAACCGGATACTTCAATATTTAAAGTCAACACCAAGAAAATGACTTTATTTTGAGAAGGGGGAAAAAAGGAATATAGAAGCTTTTGTTGATGCGGAAGGGGCTGGAAATGTTGTGGATAGGAAGTCTACAACGGGTTATTGTACTAAGGTATGGGGTAACCTTGTGCCTTGGAGAAGTAAGAAGCAAATTGTAGTAGCACGAAGTAGTGCTGAAGCAGAGTTTTGAGCACTAGCACATGCAGTGTGTGAGCTTATGTGGATAAAACATGTTCTCAAAGAACTACAGTTAATTAAAGACAATCCTATGCAACTTTTGTGTGACAACAAGGCAGCAATTAATATTGCTCATAATCCTGTTCATCATGATAGGTCAAAACATGTGAAGGTTGACAGGCATTCCATTAAAGAAAAATTGGAAAATGGAGTTATTTGTTTGGTGTATATCCCTACAGGACAACAAACTGCAGATATGTCGACAAAAGGAGTACCCAAACACAAGTTTGAAGAGTTTGTATGCAAGTTGGGCATGAAGAACATCTATGCTCCAGCTTGAGGGGGAGTGTTGCGGATATTAGCTGTAAATTTACATTTGTGTTCTTAACATGGTATCAGAGTCTGTTAAGCTCCAACAAGCAATTTGATCTGATTTAGACTTTAAAAAATTGAGCACATGGATTTTAAGATTGATTTGTTTAAACGAGCCACCATCTTGTGGGGGCACGTTAAGGGATAAAATTCCACATTGAATAAAAATGAAAACATAGACCAATTTATAAAGATTTGGACTATTCATCTTGAAACCCTAATTCTTAAAAGGGTTTCGCATGAAACTTGCATAAGAATAAAATCCCAAGTCTCAAGACACATCTAGAATTACTGCAAATCTGGAAAACCACCGAGATACCCTTGGCATATAAACTTTAAGAAAAGTCAGAAAATTATTGACTATAATCACCAAGCACTCTTTCTTTTGACCAAAAATCTTCTTGATTGTTTTAGAACCTATAAACTTTTCATGTTTTGCATGAACCTGGATGTTGTGGTTGCAGGGACTTAATGTTTACCACTTTAGCTAAGCCTCATTGGCAATTGAAAATGTTTTCTCAAATATCTAATTTTAATGTGTCAACCTTTCTCTATCATTGAAATAAATGAAATTCAAAATAGATCTCAAAGAATGCGACTCCACGGAAAAAAATAATGAAGTTACGTGTATTTATAATATTACAAATACCATCACATGTTCAACCGTGTTTACTTGAAAGTTGGAACAAACTTATTTTTGTGTATGTTATATGTACCTTTGAAATTTTTTTATGTAATTCATAGTTATATTTCTGCATGGAGGGGGGCGCTTAGTATTTACATGTTTTCTAGTTAGCTTGTTGGTGAATCTGTCATTGGTTTATATTCAAACATAAATGTTTACAATCTAACTTTTGCTTTTCTTGCAGTCATATTATTTCTTGGTGCCTGCACAAGGCCTCCACAACTGTCAATGGTCACTGAATACATGGAAATGGGATCACTGTATTATTTGATTCATCTGAGTGGTCAGAAGAATAAGCTGAGTTGGCGGAGGAGAATTAAAATGCTGCGTGACATATGCAGGTTAGTTAAAACTTTTTGATACATCAAAAACTATATTCCAGTGATGATTTCTTGGATTATTGTATAATTGTTAATTATGTCAAAATCATATGCCACCAAGACCTAAATGATACTCTCTCCATCTTGTTTTCACACATCCTCTCGGCAAAAAAAATAGAGGACAGGGCAAAAATTTGGTGCGACTGTATAGAGAGTACAATTAAGGACTTCCCAGTCGCTTTCTAACGCGTATTTTTTTGGAATGACTTTGAGCATATGGACACCTTTTTCCTCAATATTAAATTACTAACACATAGTGGACAATTCTTGCATCATCTAGATGGGAGTGCGTGTTCATTATTGGGAGATGACATAATTCAAGAGACCGAAAACTTGAGGTTGGGGGAGTATAGTAAATTTAACGTGTAGGATAAGGTAAGACTCTTGACTCACGAGTTTAAGTTGTATAAAGGATAGTGATCATTGAAGATAACAAAATTTTGTTCCTAATAAATTTTGGATTAGATACATGAATCCTTTTTCGCCGCTTGTTGATTTCACTTCAATACCTACAAGAAGCTCAGTAGCAACTAGATTATTAGCTACTACATCAAGTCATGTATTTGAGTAGATAGATGGAATTATGATCAATATATGTTACGTCACATAGTTAGGAGATGAATATATCAAACCACCTCAAACATTGAAAAACTGATGAATATAAGCTAAACCTAGTATATCATTGGAAATTTGTTATCTTCAAACTTTTTGGTGAATGGTTATTATGCCCTTGTTTGGTTTAAGATAAAAATCAGATTTTTAGTAAATTTTGATAAAAATAGATGAAATTTGTGGTCCGAAAGTCGATTAAAGTTGTGGATCCCATGAAATGTGTGGTTGAAAATGAGTTTGAAGAAAAACGAGTTTTAAAAAATGGGGGACAAATAGGAGCTAAACTTGAGAATAGGCCTCAAAACATCAACAGGTGAAAATGTCAATGCTTGGAAATTTGGAAGATTTATAGTTCACAGTTGTTTCGAGACATGACAGTTACAGTGCTGTTGCTCTTGAATTTTCTTGTGTACTATATGTGTCGCCTACTCTGTGTTGGTCCTGGGAATCCAACCTTTTAATGATAGTTCCTGGAGTATGACTCCAGTATTTGATTTCCGAATTTACCTCAATCTTTAGGTGAGATTTTAGCTGGTACCTTGCATTTGTAAGGCTTCATTCTGAGCAGAGGGTACAGTCAAAACATTATATGAACAGAATGGTTTATCTTTCTAAAAAAATGGGCTTAAATTTCTTGATACTCCTACAAAGAACAGAGAGAAAATCAAAGTGAAGGATGGTTTAGATCATACACTTGCATCATTGCATTTGGTGAGACCTTCCCCACAGAATTAAAGCCTCGGATAATTAATCAATTAATTACAATTACATTAAGCGAGTTAGAGTGACGTAATCCGTCCAAGGGGAACAATCTTTCTGGTGAACCAAATCTCTGAAATATCAATTGGTTCTGCATGATCAAAAGGAGCATGAGGAACTAGCACAATAGACTGGCTGGAAAAACAATTGAATGCAACACTGCTTGCTTGAGTGAACCCGATGAGGGGTTATTCTGCTATATTGAATATACAATTCAAGTGCGTTGATTTAACATTTTCTTAATGTGCGTTGATTTAACATTTTCTTAAAGTAACACGTAACAAAACATAATTTTCTTCTTTAAATTATTTTGCCTACACGGTGCTTTTTATCGACACTTGTAGTTTTCAATATAATGACATGCATATAAATAACTTTACCGTAAAGCCCAAAATCCGTAGTTCACTACACTGCCAAAATGACATGTCCTCAAAAACTACCCGAGTAATTTTCAATTTAATGCATTGACATAAATACTCACTGTATTCTTGGGAAATTCAAATATCTACTGATTTGTTCCTGCAAATCGAATTGATTATTTACTAGTCTAATTTGAAAGCTAGTATGTTTTCGGTTCTTGAATAGTGAGAATGTGGTTTGAATGAAAGAAAACCATGGTATAGATGGATAACTATAAACTCAATGTTTGTTTTCTGTTGGCAACTTAGAGGTTTGATGTGTATACATCGCATGAAGATTGTCCACCGCGATCTTAAAACTGCAAATTGCCTCGTCAACAAGCACTGGACAGTTAAAATCTGCGACTTTGGGCTCTCAAGGATAATGACAGACACAACCACGAGGGACTCCTCATCAGCAGGGACACCAGAATGGATGGCTCCAGAACTTATACGCAATGAACCCTTCACTGTAAAATGTGACATTTTCAGCCTCGGAGTTATAATGTGGGAACTATGCACCCTAAATAAACCATGGGACGGCATACCACCAGAGCGGGTACACGACTTTCTGTACATGCATTTTATATAATGGTTCTTGATAAGAGTGATTAATATTCCAAATCCCATCGTCTATTTAGGTTGTTTATGCCGTAGCAAATGAAGGGTCGCGGTTGGAGATACCTGAAGGACCCTTGGGCAGGCTAATTGCAGGTATGTGTTTTAGATTGTTGTAATTATGGAAGCACTACCGAAACTTCATATTTGCTCTAGGGCATGACGGTATAATCTCGCGGTTGCAGATTGTTGGGCAGAACCAGATGGACGACCAAGTTGTGAGGAAATTCTTCCCCGATTACTAGACTGCGAGTTACCACTTTCCTAATGCAGCTTTGTCCATTTGTATAGAAAAATAACATAGTTGAGGTATACAAACAACTTATTTCCGGCTCAAATTGTAAACTTTTGTGTGATTTTCCTGTTCCCCCATCAGTACAAATGGGGAAAAACGATCATCCTTTTTGTGAAATAAAAGATAAATGGACTTCCTGCTGTCGTGTTGGGAATTAGTAGAGGCTCATTGCACGACTAATATTGTCAAATTTGGAATGTAACAAAATTTCATCTTCAAAGTTGTAAAATGCCGGTAAAGCAAAATAACAGAAAACTGGATGAAAGTTGCGAGACTTGGGTTCCTTAAAGTCCTTTGTATCAATCAGGAATCTGGTGCCTATTTAGAGCGGCCTCAAAGCGACTGCATGAGTCTGCCCTCATCTCTGTGCTCATATCACTCTCTGGTGCTGGATAATAGTCTTCTCTCAACTGAACATCTCTTAGTCCACGGATTCTAACTAGAAACATAATGAAATGTTCGTGAGCCGTCCCGTGTATAAAAAGCTTCCGAAGGTCTAAACATTGTTGTAGTAGTCCGGCTGCTGGAAGAGATAGACTCCTTTGGTTAACATCCCTATCTTGTGGGAGCCAGTAATCCAGTTCCGTGAGACCCAAATCTCCAATACCAAAGAGATAAAACCGTTCCCAAAGGCTCAAATCCATCTGCCCAGAAGGTGCGGTGTGTGCATAGCCAATGATTTCCCCGCAATCCAAATGCATCTTTGATAGCTTCAGGTAATTCCCAAGGATGCTCAATCCAAATGCATCTTTAGAGGGCTTCGACATTTCCCTACAATCTCCTTCAACCTTTATCCTTATCTCCTCCAGATTGGGACAATTCTCGAGTCCTGCAGACGCCAGAGGAGTCAAAAGCTGACCTACAGCGATCCAGAGCGAAAGAGATTGCAAACTATCCCACGTCTTTTCACCAAATCCATTGCCGTTGTCATAGCCATTGTAATTGACATCCATCCCGTCATAAGAGCAATTCAGATCATACAAATTCTTGCACCCTTTGTAGTAGACATTGTCATTGACATCCAAACCAGCATAAGAGCAATTCAGATCATCCGAGTACTTGCACCTTTTGCTATTGCCACCATAATCACCATCATCGGTTCTCAAGTATTTTGTATGTGCAAAAGATTGAAATAACATCTCACCTTGATCCAATTTGTTGAGGTCAAACTTGCCTTCGATTGCATCAAGATGTTGAAGCTCTTCGGTGCAATCCCAAACACAATCTATATGAAGCCTTCGAATCCTACTCTGTATTGGCTCCAATGCTTTCAAAGAAGATGATGCCCCAAAGTTTTTGCAGCATGAGATCTTAACCTCGACCAATGTTCGTTGTAGCAATTGCACAAAAGTCCTCATTCCTCTCATCGTAATCTTCTTGCAGCCCTGAATTTCAAACTTGGCCAATCTACAACACCCCCGCGCAATGGCAATCAATCCCATATCATCCAAGTCACCCACGTTCCTAATCGACAAGGATTCAAGCCTTTCACACAGTGCAACTCCATCCAACCTCGACTCAACCGGCATTGAAATCCCATGAAACTGCCCCAACTTTAGGTGCCTCAACTTGGGGCATTTCGAATTTAGCACCTCTAATGCAGGACCACTATCCCTAACATTGTTACAGAAATCCAAAACAAGCTCTTCCAGCAATGGAAGCCCAGAAAACACTTCAATCAAAGTCAGCACACTAATCCTCGCATCTTCTTGCGTAAACCCCTCGTGTTCAGGATCTCCCCTCAAATTCGACAAGGCCTTGGTATCCGCTAGATGAAGGATTGCCAATTTAGGACAATTCGTTGCTATTGAAACAAGAGCCTCATTTCCAACAAACCCAATGTATCGCGGATCAAACGTACACGCCGCGCGAAATTCTTTCACATTGGGGCAAGCTTTTGTGATTTCACTAATCTCATCAGACTTAAACCCCTCAGAAAATGATGGGTTCAATAGATTCAAGCAAGTGAGGTTCAACGAAACTAATGGGTTCGATTCCAGTGCTACAAGAACATCATCTGTCCAGCAATAAAACGATGAAAGATCAAGAGAACAAAGGCTCTTACATTGTTGAAACAAAATTCCGAGTTCTTCACCAGTGGTGGCTAATTGGGGCCTCTGGTGCCACCTCACGAGCTTCACTTGCTTCAAATTAGGCCACAGTGGAGCCAGCAGCTGTAAATTCGATAAATTGCGGGCGTAGAGCGTAAGGGAAGTAACTTCAGGGAAGGCATGGCGCAGGTAGTCGGCGATTATTGCTTGGTCGGTGATGGAAGCGGCGGAGGAGGAGGTGAGGGAGTGGCCCCAGGGGGAGAGAAGTGATAAATCGAGGTGGGTTATGGATCGGAAGCAGGTAGGGACCATGAATAGGTAAAGGTCCCTGATGTTGCCACGGAGGGTGAGGGTGGTGCGGGTGGCGCGTTCGAAGATGCGCCATTTGTGGCACACTAAGGCGACAGAGTTGCGGCTGCGAACATCCGACACGGCGGCGATTATGTTGGAGAGGATGGCTTCCGGCAGGAGGTCATTGATTGTGAGGGTGGTGTCAGTTGGCATGTTGAATTTTGGCAAGAAGATGGGGATTCTTGTTGATTGAGGTCTTATATTTCATTTTCTTACATTATTCTAGAGGAAGATTTTTTTATTTTTCTTTTTTCTTTTTATGTCAATCAATTTATCTACAAGCCTTTTAGTTTAGATGGCTAGGTAAGGGGGTGGATGAGGTTGGGTTGGACTGTTGGGGGTGGGGGGTGGGGGGCGTGGGGTTTGAATATTCAAGCTTTGCTCATTCATAAGTTGAGATTTTTTGACAAGATAATTAATTAATTCAAATAATTAATAATAAAGTAGGTTAATTCATAATTTCGTTAATTCAAATAGCGAAGAAAGACAAATGGTAAAAATTTCTAAAATATAATCAATCCAAACTCTAGCGCTCAATTTTATGAAGTCATAAGATGTAAATGTGTATATTATCTTATTCCATTTCGTGAAGTATAGCAACAAGAATTATAATTTACATTAAAAAAAAAAAAAAATTAGCAAGAGATGCGCATTTAGTGCAAAAAGAAAATCATTACTTCTTCATTTTTCATTTAAAGTTTTCTGACTGACATTTCTTTTTTTTAGAGACATCGCAATGATCCCAATTTAAGGTCTGTTTGGGAAGGATTAAATTTTTCTACAGTAAATCAATTCTCATTTTCAACCACACATTCTTCAATAAAATAATATTTTCCATCACATCAATAATTTTTTCTTCTTCTTCAACCGCACATTTCCCATCATATCACTATTTAAAATCAATTCTTCTCCAAAAAATATTCTTTTTCAACCACACAGTTTCCATCATATCACTATGTAAAAATCAATTCTTCTCCAAAAAATCTCTCCCAAACAAACTCTTAATATAGTGACATAATTTGTTCCTGCTCTTCTTGTTATTGTAGCATCAATATTCATCTTTAAATAACCAACTCGAGACACCTAACATAATTACATAATTTATTAATATTGTTATATTTCTATATCTGTACAATAAATGCAATGAAATATGAATCGATACCAACGATAATCTATTATATCTTATTTAAGATTAGTGGCAATCTTATCTTCCTACTTTCACCTTCGGTAGTTGGTACGGCCAAATTCCTTGCTTCATTCTTTTAATTAAACTAGTATAAAGTAGACATAAATATTAATTTCCCAAAAAGCTTATTTTAAACTATTTTCAATTAGGTTTTTCAAAATTAACACTAAAAGTTGGCTTAGCCGCGCCAATTAAGCCAGCCGCGCCGAAGAGGGGCTCAATGTCTATCTGGAGATGTGAGGCACGTGAGGTGGGATGCGATGCATGTGAGGAGGTGTGGGGAGTTGATGGACTGGCAAATTGGAGGGTTGAAAGTGAGAAAAAGAAAGGAGGGGTGAAAACAGGTACAAATTGGGTACATAAAATAGAAGACATGTGAATTGAACCTAAGAGTCTCTCTTCTCTTATCCAAAACATTTTCTTCCTTCCAATCAATCCATTTTCATCCCACCAAAACAAGGAAAGTGGGATTTACTTTACTTTTTCCCACCTTTTTGTCCCTCCCCTAGTTTTATTACCTACTATAGTTGGCAATGGGTTTGAGTTGCTAGTCGATTCAATGATCCGACGACTAGGGTTTGCATCAGATTGAGATAGAGCTTAGTCGAGCTTGATTTTTGATTGGCGAGCTCTTATGATATTTAATTTATTTTTATAATTTTATGTAAATTATATTTTTCTAAAACAGGTTTTTAAAAAAAAAAGGCTTGGCTCGATCCTTCGCATGCTGCATCCATAGCCCAAGCAAGCCTTGCTCCTTGGTCAGTGAGCCAACCTAAGCCCACTGCTAGTCTATTATATCGTGGCACTTTTTACTTGTCTTTGATCTTAGCCATCGTTTCCTTTCCCTTATAATAAAGTGTTTGGTGCGCGCAAGTTGGCCCGAACATCCACGATTATAAAAAAAAAAGGTGTTTGGTGAATGGTGATATCTAGATTTTATCATTAAAATTTTCATTTTTAAGAGGAGAGGCGATCATTTCTTTACATTTTAGGTATATTAGCTTTTATGATATGATCACATATATTTTGCCCATTTGAAAACAATATAATAATTGAATATAAAATCTTTAAATTATTTATTATGAAAACAAAGTTAATAACTAAAAATCTTATTACTTTATTTTAACTATAAGGAGAGCAATTGTGCATGCTTCAATCTTTTCTTTCGTGTACATTAGAATGGACAAACCACCTAATTGGTTAAGAGATATGTCAAGTTTTTTAGACTTGAAACTATTTAATCCTTTGAACTTTCATGATCGAATACAAGTTTTATAGCCAAACGAATATAAAAATATGAATCTAGTCTGCTTCATAGACAAAAGTAGGCCTTTTGATTCTTGCATATGAAATTAATAGAATATTAAATAATGTTATTCGTATATTTTGATCTTAAGCCTAGTTAGTTTAACTTCGTTCACCAATTCCATATCTCTAATTCGGTAAAATAATAATTAAGCACATAATATCACAGCATTCGAGAAATAAAATGCACCCTTGATAACTCTCATGCAACTCATGGTCAGTTATTTCTTACTATCACTAAACTCAATAAGTTGCGTGTTTAACTTTTAGTGATATATCGTAGGAACGAATATATAGGTTTAATGTGAATATATTATATTACATGAAGGCTCATTATCATAAAAATAATGACTTATTCTTGAGGTAAAATACTTATAATCTAGTAATCTTGGAAAATAGCTCAAAATAGAAGATACTTCACACATTATATTCTAGCCAACTTGACCAGATAACTCACTCCCTACCAAAAGTCGTGTAATTTAGAATATGTCATAAACTCCGCAACACCACTATGGTGAGATTTTGAAGTCAAATTATTGATTAATTTTTTAGGTTATTACCACTATATAAGTCACATTTAGATATATTTCCTAGTTAGTACCAGCAAATATTGCACAAGATAGACAAATATAATATTGTTTAGCGTTCTTCAAATTCAAGTCTACCAAACACACTATTGACATTATACGGTTATGAATTTTTTTTTACCCCTTCTCTCTATTCTACTACGCCTTTTCTCTCTTTTAATCAAGTCAAGCAACATTAACAATGTCATGGAATGAAAGGATAAAGAAAAATAATAATTTTCTAACGCCATAAAACTAAAAACTAATTAAATTAAGGTACGTGTGATAGAAACATTGAAACAAATAAAATAAAATCTATATTACCTTTTGTCTCTGAGGTGTGAACCAAATGACCATATTTATAGGTAATAAATAGTTATAAAAGAAAATAATATTTGACAATTACATCAACCGATTTATGAAAATTATCATAGACAATTACATGCGTTTAACTACATATTTTTGCTAACGTAAGCGTTGATCTCATGCTTTCTAATCTTCTCTGTGAGATTACATTCTCTTTATTTTACTTTAATCCGATCATGTTCTTCAAAAATATTTTCATAATAGTATATTTTATTCTTACTTTATCTCGCTCATATTCTTCTAATTTTGAGTGACTTCATAGATAATCCACCAAGTCTACCATAACATTTGACATTTTGGTACTTCTCAAAAGTATGTTACCTTATCTTAATAGTGTGGATTCTCCTTGGATTAGGTTTTTGATATAATTGGGGCCCCAATGAGTTGTCTTTGTTATAGTATGATTACCCATTTTCACAATAATAAATAAATCTTTTCATTAATAAATTTAACAAAGACTTCATGGAGACTAGCTAGTTGATATGATGTTGTCACTAGAGCCGTGGCGTCACTAGAGCCGTGGCCGAGAGGGGTGGGGACAGCCTTCCGTATATTATTTGTGATGGTAAACAATAATTACAATATCGAATAATCATATTATAAACATAATCTTCTTATATATGTTTGCTAGCAAGATAATTATCTTTAATTTTGCCCGGATTTGTATTCAACATCGTTGCACCCCTTTTGGAAGACGGCTCTGTTTTTTGTTTCATTATCAAGTCCCTAAACTTTGAAATCTCGTTTTGTAGTGGATAAATTTGTTAACGTGCCGTTAAACCATTTTTTAAAAACAAAATTAAACAATGTGATTATCGCAACCCATGCTATTAAAGCAGCTGCTTTATTTTTGTACAACAATTAAAAATAATTTTTCCTACTTGCCAGCCTTATTGGAATTTTATTTTTTCTAAAAAAATTGTTATTTCATAACTTTATTTAAAATTTTATTGCTGTATTTAATTTCTATTTTCACCTAATTTGAACTTAGCCACTGATTAGGTGCCATGTGTTTTCTTGCTATAATCAATAAATTACACCATCTCCTTCGGTCCCCACTCAAATATTTGTTGCTTTTTGTTTTCCAAATTTGTAATTATAATTAAGGCAGTTGTACATTTAAAAGGTGGGCCCATGCCCACTGCACTGTGATTGTACCTTCTTGTAATATGTGGGCCATACCCAAATATGCTTGGCTGTTTTTGTTGTACCTTCATGTGGTACCAACTCACAATGCATTTTTTATTTTTTATTCTCTCTCTCTCTCTCTCTATGAATGATATTTGTGGTAAGTTCCCTAGTGATGAAGTCAATCCACATGTCTTTAGACAAAGACATTGAAGACAATCTCCAAACCAACAACATGTGAATAGCGTCAAATTGATAAGGCTATCCCATAAGCTTTTGTTTTTCAAGATATGTCACGCGTCTCGACTCTTTAAATTTTTTCGCTTTTATTTTAAATTGATGAGTGCGTGAGGATATTTTTAACATTTTGTTACGTGTCCGTGCTTCTCATTCAAGTAAGTCCAACAGGTAGGTGATAGCATGTATTTTTAATACATCTGTCCTACAATCTATCAAGTAGGTACAGCTTGTTGGAAATTAACTTTGTTGTCCCACAACGATAGCTTGTGAATGGAAATTTTTTTTTTTTTAAAAAATCTTTTAGAGTTCATGATTTTTCCTCAGTGTTAAGGATTTTTACATAATTTTTTGCGTTTTTG